CCCCCCCCTCCCTTCCAATCCCAGGAGCGAACCAGCCTCTCGGCCTTTGTCAGGGACGGCTTGCCGGTGGCGCATTGGGCGGGCTGAGGTTCTCGATAGGAAAGCGGCGGTGCAGCGTCTCGAGCCCGGCGAGGACGTTGGCGCAGTCTCTGCGGCACTGCTGCAGGATGACCGTTAAGACACCCGGCGCCTGTGACTTGCGGGGACGGTGGGTCGGCACGAAAGAACGTCATTGTTCGGAAGGGTGGAAAGGATCGGGGCCTGGATTTCGACCAGCATGACAGCAAGTCCTGCGTTGGTGGGTTCAGGAGTTATGGCGGCGTCAATTGGAGCTGACTGGCGGAACGCGTTTTGGGCAAAATCCCGCCGACCGGAATTTTAGGACGAACGCTGCGGTCACGTATACGGCGCCGGCTGGCTCTGGTCGCTGCCGGGTCGACAGTGCGGTGGGGTCGTTTGCATGATGGCATGGCTACTTTTCACCGAGATGCGAAGATGATATTGGCTTCGTGGCGTTGTTCGCGTGCGTAACGGAAGGGGGATACCAAGTAACCCAACCCCAACCTCGAGCCGATAATGGTATGTAGCACTGTGGTGCTGCGCCCCGAAGGGTGGGGGTTCCGCTCGCCGCCTGGAACTCGGCTCGTTCGTATCGGGCTCGGTGGCTCTGAATTCGGCGGGCGCACTCGACTCGGCGGGTGCAGTGGACTCGCAACCGGCTCGCGTGTTGTTGAAGTCGTACGGTTTGCAGATGACATCTCCGGGCCTCTACGTCCTCTGGGAAAGTAATCGGTCCAAGAGGAGTCGCACGCCCCAGGCCTCCCAGAGCGTCGCTGCGCCCGCTTGGAGGGTGCTTCAGCCCGACCTACGGCGCCAATCATATCAACAACCGGGCAGACCAGGATATGCTGTTTACGTGGATCGAGTACCTTCGCTACGAGTAGTACTGGCCTGCGTAGACGGTGCCGAGAACTTGCCTTTAATTTCTCTTTGCGTCGCTACCTCCATCCTGCTTAGCCCCGCAATGCCCTCTTCGTTCCAGTATCACGTCCCCGGTTACATGGCGCCAGGTCCCAGTAGGGCCAGCGACTCCGGCACAGACGGGGCAGCCCGCCACGTCTCAGCCGTTGCCGCGCCGGCGCATCTCCCAGACCTGTGCAGTCACTAGACGAAAGGGCGGCGGCGTAGCCGAGCAAGTCCCACTTCAGAACGCCCTGCGAGATGAAGTCCTGTTGGAAGACGTGGTACACGTGGTTGACGACTGGGGTAGGCCACGGTCGTCACCGTCAGAGTGTTGTCTTCCTTGATAGAGTTGAAATGTAGCTACTCGATTATCTGGTGGGGTGGCGACTGGTAAACGATGTGGTTGGCTGGTATCTTGGGTGACCGCAGCCGGCAAGTGCTGCCGGAGGCATACCGCAGTTCTTTATTATAACATGCCGCTACTACAGCTCAAGCAATAGAAGCGAGCCAGCGTAGTCAACCCCTAGGTCGTTTGCGTTTTGGCTACATAAATCGGTGGTCGACCTTACGGAGGCCATCCGTTTCCTTCCCCCCCGGCCGCCGAGCAGGCTCTATATGTCGAATCACGAGCAGGAGTGGTTGGCGATGGGCGCGATGCATCGCCGCCGCTGCCGCTGGACTTCCAGCCCCATCGCCCCCTCTCCCGCGGTCGGGATCGTGTGGGTTCCGGCCGGCCAGCACAGTGGGGGCTTGGCCGAACAGGCCCGGCTTAGTCAGCAGCGGATAATTGCACCAGGTAAAGTTGCACGTAGCAAACTGCACCTGCGCGAGTTAAAAAGGCGTTCTTGTCATCTGCTACGTGTAATTTGCGGCCAACTTTGGCTGGATATCCTTTACTAACATTGTGTGGACACGAGCTCGTAAGCGCCAGCGGCTTTCGCCGACAGTGATGGCGGACTTGTACTGTACTTGGTGCAAGCATCTTGTCTCCAGTCTCGGAGGACTGCCGACGCCAGACTCACTTACGTACCCCTTTAAGCTTAAACAAGCCATGGTGGTCGCCACTCCTTGCATTTTTCTTCCTCGCCGCATGACGTCTCGTATCGTCTCCGCCTGACGGTGATCCGAAAGGTTGCGCAGACTCACCCCGTTGTCTTGGCCTTAGCACTCTTCCGGACGTTTGAGCCAAAGGGACTGACGTCAGGCGCGCTGCAATGCGGGGGCTGCGGCGCAAACCTCGCGACGCGGCTTCACGGGCAGCTCGAGTTCGACGCGAGTGCCCGGCCGGAGGCTCACGGGTCCGTGAGCACCGCTGTTCCTCTGGAGGCAGAGTCTCTTCAATGCCGCCGACTATCGAGGGGACCGGCTCCTTCTGCTGGATTTCGCTGTCAAGGACGACCGTGCTGTTGCTCGGACGTGGGCTGAGCCTCCTCCGCTTTTCGATGCTCGTTTGGCGTGGGCTGTCGTCACCATCAGAGTCGTCAAGCCTTCTCTTGATCGTCTTGCTCGCCCTGGTCCCGTCGAGTCCGCCGGCATCTTCGCTTCGGCTCAACTCGGCCTCGATCAAAGGAATCTGGTCCAAGATCCACGGAAGGAGGATGCGATGGCGCGCTGCGTCCCTCTTTGCATCTTTCAAGCGGTCTGATGAAAGTTTGAACTCTTTAATAAGAGCACTCCGCTTCTTGAGCCCCTCCAGCCGTCTCTCGGCAGCCAGCATCTCTCGGTTGCCTTGTTGCAACCTCCGTATACGTTCCGGCTTGGGGATGCTCAGACGGCGTTGATCTAGCTGAGTCTCGATGTAGATTCGCTTGGCATTTTGTTGCGATCTCTCTAGCGCTGCTCTGGCCATGTCCTCTTCGGCCTCGTGTCGCATCGTATACTCGTAAGTCTTGATATATTTTGCGGTCTCGAATGACTGCAGCATCCCCGTGTCTTCGAGCTTCTGCCACACCTCGTCGCGTTGTTGCTGCCGGCGCTCGATGGCACGCGTAAACAGATCGAGCCACCAGTACTCAAAGCAGAAGTACTCGATCCATGTCTCGAGCTTGCCCTGTTGTTTCGGGTCTTGGCTCAACTCAAAGGAGCAAGTGAAGCCGTGTCGGGCCAGGCGGCGTTTGACCGCGTCAACATAGTCGGAAAATGCGTTTCCGGTAACGCCCGATTCATAGCAGTAGTGTCGCTGCCAACGGCGGTCCTCTTGCACGTATTCCTCCCAGCGCTGTTTGAGCCGTGACGGGTCGGCCTCGAGCTCGGCCAGCTTCTCTGCTGCGACACGTTCGCTGTACTCGCGTTTTATGTAACGCTTCTCCGCCTTAAGGTATGCTGGAAAGCCGCCGTCGTCGTCCTCTTTCAAATCGCGATTGTCCCTCTGCCATCTGCGGAACATGGTCCATCTCTTCCACTGCTTTTGGAATACCCCCCAGGGGTAATGTATCCTCGTTCCGCCCCACCACCAATTAAAATAACCGCCCGTCGCAATGTCGTCTAGCCAGGGCCGCAACAGCTCCTGGTACTTGTCGGGGTTTCCGGTGACGTAGTATAGGTCGCCCATCGGGCCCCGGATTGGGCCCCTTGGGAAGGACGCGGAAATGTCGTTGAGGAGTTCGATTGGGTAAAGCGGGCGGCCGCCATCCTTAACGAGTTGGTCGTATGCGTCCGCCTCCTCCATTCTCCCCAACTGTAGACCACATTCTGCGAGCTCTACTCCCCCTAGGGTCGGTGATCGTGATCGAGATGGTAGTGGTTGAGATGCTCGTGGTAGGGCGTTGGGGCCGCCGGATAATGCTTTTTGGAGGCGGGCGTCGAGATCGTCGAGATCAAGCGGTCGGGAATACCGGTTTTCGGCCAGGGGCATGTCTTCAGAAACC